GGGGGGGGGGGGGGGGGGGGGGGGGGGGGTTCCGATTTCATCATCTTCATCCATTTCATCAATAAGATTCACAGATGCTTCATAGCTTATTTGAGTTCTTGTCACATGTTTCTTCTCAACAAATGCTTTTACTTGGTCCCTAACATCAGCCGGACAAAGAGTACATTGTACTACATTTTTAAATCCACCAATCAAATGTTGTTTGTGACGAGTTATTCCACCATGGTAAGTTTTCTCACTAAACACACATTTAATTGCGGATCTTGTTGAGCTTTGTATAGCATAATCCAAACTATATCATTTCTTTTATTACCGTTGGATGACGCCATTTCAATATTGTTTATAGGAAAAAATTATTAAGTCAATATGCAATCAAAATCAATTCTACTCTATAACTGAATAAAAGAGGAAAAATTCAGGTATGAAGGAAGTTGTCTGCCTTTGCCCAAAAAACAGTGCTGGACTCGGAAAAAACAGAGCGCAAAAAAAAAAAAAAAAAAAAAGAAGAGAGAGAGAGAGAGAAGAGAAGAAGAAAAAGGAAAAAAGAAAGAAAGAAAGCTCTCAGCCAAAAGGCTCTTTTCTGCTCGAAAACAACAGAGCGAAAAAAAGGAGGAGAGAAGATGAGAAGAAGAGAAGGGAAGAAAGAAGAAAGAAACTCGGAGAAGAAGAAAGGAGAAGAAGAAAGAAGAAAAGAGATGAAGAGAAGCATACCTTATCGAAGAAACTTGAAGAAAAAAGAAGAAATCTGGTTTGCTTCTTTGTTGTGGGGCTGGGTCGACGAGCTTGAAGGAGAAAGAAGAAAACAAACTCAAGCCCTAATTTTTCTAATCGCTGATGTCTGTTGCTTTTTTTTTTTTCTTCTTTTCAAAAAGGCGTTGCTACTGGGTGCCTCTAGCTGACTACTCAAGTAGAAGCGCTCGCCTTTTTAATTTCGCCACGGAACAAAGGAAAATGGTGTTGGCTCAGCCTCGCATCGCATCGCTTCACGCTATTAACACTGAGACGAGCGCTATTTACAACCCTGTTCCATGAAGTGAAATATCATGCAGATATTGATTCTTTTTTTTTTTTTTTAATTCCTGGCCTGTTACGTGTCCCCTCCATTAGTATCTGGTGTACGTTTGAGCAATTGTATAACGGTGAGGGTAGGTATAGACGGATACTCAGACGGAGGGTAGTTTAAACTATTTCTCATAGTAGAGGGATATACTTGATCCTTTTCCGTTTCGTAATCCATAAGCTTATGCTACATAGAGGGACATTATAAAGTAGTGAACATTATCTCATAAACTGAAAAAGCATAAGCTTTATGGCACATGTAGACTACTTATTCTCCCTGGAATTCTATCTGGTACCCTGAATTTTTCAAACTCCTTCAGAGCCATGATTGCTTGCAGAATTATTAATCTTGTTTGGTTTATACTGGTAATTCCTTTTTAACCTGGAAGCGGTAGAAATATTTGATTAAGTTGAGTGGTGAAACTAATTGATATTCGGTGTTTGTTTGATTGGTACTAATATAACGTTCCCTATGATTGCAGAACTTCTTGGCATTATGCGCAAGTGGTTATTATGATGGGACAATATTTCACAGAAATATAAAGGGTTTCATGATCCAAGGTGGTGACCCAACAGGTACAGGAAAAGGTGGGACAAGTATTTGGGGAAAAAAATTCAATGACGAGATACGGGAGTCTCTCAAGGTACTTGTGTGCAACATTCGGTCAGATAGATGTTTGCCTATTATTCAGTGGCTTCCTAAATCTATGCTGTCAAGTTTGACCTGTTCTTGATTAGAACATTGTTTTGTTGGTCCTATAGAGCTTTAGATTCTGTAATATGGGCTGTAGCATCTGGCAGACCTTTAACAAAAGTCTGTTTAGCATTGCAATTGAGAAGTGTTCTCATTTCATGGCAACTTAATGGTACGAAGATAAGAAAATAAATAAAAACTTTCTGATTTCTTCCTTACCTTATTCTTGTTTTTAATATCCTTTGGCACCTCGACTGCTTCTGGGGGGTCGCTTGCCTTTGATTCAGGATTCGGAATTGATGCCAAACTAGTCATGGATCTGATTTGACTTTTACTACACTATGTCGGTGTTCTATGTCTAGCATGTTTGATTTATCATCTTTCACTGTTAATATTAGTGACTGCCTCTACTTAATTTTCTGATTCATGTGTGCTTTGCATTCCGTTCCAGCACAATGCAAGAGGGATATTGTCAATGGCCAACAGTGGCCCTAACACCAACGGGAGCCAGTTTTTCATGACATATGCCAAGCAGCCACATCTTAATGGATTGTACACCATCTTCGGGAAAGTGATACATGGATTTGAGGTTCTTGATATCATGGAAAAGGTATGCCTGGATTGATGCTTGCCGATAAACTTTTGCAATGCAGAGAAATCGATCATTTTCCAGCATTTGTGCTAATTAGTGATTCTTGGCTCTTATTCAGCATTAACTTATGAAACAGAGAAATACTGAATCTGTAGCATAATATTCCCTTTTTCAGTATTTATGTTACTCTATACGGGACTCTTTTGATAAAGTGAATTTGCTTAACTATCACCTATTTCACTTATTATCTAAATTTTGCAGACTCCAACAGGACCAGGTGATAAGCCCCTTGCCGAAATCAGGCTCAACCGGGTGACCATACATGCTAATCCACTTGCTGGCTGATGTTATTTTGAAACCATGCTATGGCAGCATGTGTAATCTCATTGTTGGACTTGTCGATCATGGTGATTACTTAGTATCATTGCTATGGTCAACCTTCATCACCGACAAATTTACTGGTAGATAGGGAGTAGTTGATACGGGATGGTAATACTAGTGAAGCTTCCATTGGTCGAACTAGATTAGCTGCAGAAGTTTTATTTTCTTGAAAACACAATCTTGATATCTCCAAATAGCAATATCTAACTGAAGCCTTGAAATGGTTCCACTAGATTTACATGTTTACTGTTTACATTACAAAGGCCTCATGCATCTCAAGTAAGTAATCATGTACCTTGGTATGAAATATAAGAACGACCAGTGCAAATCTAGTTGGATGCTAATGTTGAAGTGAACTATGGAAAGATTTAAGATTTATGGAATGTAAATCAGGAATAGTTAACATGGGTTATACTTTTGAATATTTTGTACTTTCTGTTATCTAATGCAATTTGATTGGTACTTTTTCTTGTGTAGTTACTTGAGTTATCTCAATTATGAATTTAGGAGCGAAAATCCCTACTAGAATGGTTGTGTTTACCTTTTCTCTGTTAATTATTGATGGTTAGTGCAGAACTTTCTCTCTAGTTCTATACATTTCAATTTACATTCTTTGTTCAACAATTACTTAAGTTGGACTATATTTAAAATTGCTTAACCATCTCAACTTTTAAGTAGATATATAAGTAGAAATGACGTGGGGTAGCCACTTTTTAAAGTGATATTTACTTTTTATCCAGCATTTTTAATGCTGAGCAAAAATAGCCACTACTCTATTAAAATTAATATGAAAAGACGAAGTTACCCTTTCTTCTATCTCTTTTCCATCCCAAACCCTCTATCAAAATTTCAGAACCCTTTCTCCTGATCAAAATTTTCCAAACTCGTTCCTTCTCTTCCCCATGCAGTAAGTTCCTCCCCAACTTCATCTCACTTCCTAAACCCAAAGGCAAACCACTTCCTCGTTGCAGACCACTTCTCCAACTTTATTTCTTTTTCTTTTTCATTTGGTTGGTTAGGTTCTTGTTGTCTTTTAGGCTTTGGGTTTTAATTAATCTGATAGTTATTATCTGTTACTAGTTTTAGCGTACGTGCGTTGCACGTGTAAATCGTGCACTTACCGTCTTCTTTTCTGTAATTTAAGAATAATTAATTATATTTAACGTAAAATTCACCTCGAAAAATTAATATATTTCCATGTTGATATATTTCCTCTCTAAGAGTTGATCTGTTGAAGACTTGTTCTAACAAATGATTTGGAAGCTGTTCAAATATGTAGCCGAAACACCAATCTATCTTTTAATTAGTTGTCTGACCGATGTGTAAAAGGATTTTGTTACATTATCCATTTGACTTTTTTCACAATTTCCTTCGATAAATTTTTTATATGAATTTTTATGTAATATATATTGCACAACTCATTGTTTCTACAAAAGTGCAATTCAAAATAACATGCATTATATATATCTAAAAAAAATTGCATCAACTTTAACAAATTGATCGAGCAACAATAGGTAAAGAAACTACTACATAAGTCAATGGCAAAAATGGTTAAAAAAAAGTAGCAGTCTAAACCAAACAAGAAAGCATACATGCTACCCAAAATCAATGCTTAGTAGCAGTCTTAGCCTTAATTGTAGGATTCTAATGAATTTTATTAATTACAACAATCTCATTCATAATGAGCATCTAATACTCCCTCCGTTTTCAATTAGATGAGATAGTTTGATGGGACACGAAATTTAAGGGGAAAAAAGACTTTTAAAACATGCGGTCCTAAAAGCTTAAGGGGCAAAAGCTTTGTGAGACCATGATATTTTTTTGGCTATAAAAGTTTCTTATTAAGGGTAAAATGGGTAAAATAAAAAGTTTAAACCTAAATTATTTTCAAATATAAAAACGTGTCATCTTTTTGGAGCGGATTAATAAGGAAAGTGTGTTATTCAAATTAAAACAAAGGGAGTAAACTTTTAAGCTCCGCAATATGAATATTAATGTTCTTGAAATTAAAGAGTTAACTCCTTGTTTTAAATTGAAAATTGATATATTATCGATTTTTGGTCTTAATTCATTATCAAAATGTTGAACATCAAAAACCAGTTTGAAATTGCATGACTGAATTCCGCATATTCCATTTTGAATCATATATGAATGCAAAATATATACAACCATATTTATTAGAAGAAATTTATTCGATTTTGAATTTCTAAATACAGTATCAGGACTTTCAACATAATTCAAATATCAAAAAATTTATTAACCAAAGTTTTAGTTAGTTTTAAAGTCTTAAATATTAAAAAAATTAAATTACATTTTGTCCAATGTGATTAGAAACCAAAATTTAGAAACAGTAATTGTTTAAAATTCGGAAGAACTAAAAGGAGTGTACTTGAGTTTGACTCGAGTAATGATTAAATTGCTTATAACAAAATAAAGAAAAGGAAAAACTTGAAAATAAAAACTTTTCTAAGATTCCTAACGTGTTTAAAACTTCTTTTCGTTTTTGCTTACCAGAATAGCCAATAAGTTTGGTAGAATTAGACTAAAAAGATGTAAAATTTACGTTTATTTGGATTTGGACAAAGCTAGAGTTTTATTTTATTTTAGTTGAAGTCTAATAATGATTAAATGATTTCTAACAAAATAAAAAAGGCAAAGACTTGAAAATAATTATGACTTCAAATAAGGAAAGAATTTAAGAATCAAAATTTTAGTNAGAAGAAATCCATTGGAATTTGGAGGTACAAATTCAGATTAAGGAGTTGGATGTATAAAGGACAATTGGTCCTTAACTTAGAGTTCCAAGTTTAAAAGTTAAGGACACTTGGTCGTGAACTTAGAATTACAAGTTCAAAAGTTAAGGACACTTGGTCATGAACTTAGACTAACAAGCTCAAAAGTTAAGGACAATAGGTCCTGAACTTACAGTTACAAGTTCAAAAGTTAAGGACAATAGGTCCTTAACTTTGATTTCCAAGTTCAAAAGTTAAGGACAGACAGTCCTTAACTTACAATTACACGTTCAAAAGTTAAGGACAAGCAGCACTTAACATACAGTTACAAGTTCAAAAGTTAAGGACAATAGGTCCTTAACTTTGATTTCCAAGTTCAAAAGTTAAAGACAGACAGTCCTTAACTTACAGTTACACGTTCAAAAGTTAAGGACAAACAGTACTTAACTTACAGTTACAAGTTCAAAAGTTAAGGACAATAGGTCCTTAACTTTGACTTACAAGTTCAAAAGTTAAGGACGCTTGGTTTTGAAGTTTGAGTTCCAAGTTCAAAAGTTAAGGACATGTAGCCCTGAAGTCCTGAACTTAGAGTTACAGGTTCAAAAGTTAAGGACATGTAGTCCTAAAGTCCTGAACTTAGAGTTCCAAGTTCAAAAGTTAAGGACATGTAGTCCTGAAGTCCTGAAGTTAAGGACATGAGCAGAAGGGTATTTTCGTCCGGACAATTAAAGTTTATTAAAGCAGTGGTTAAAGACTAAAGACATTTTAAACGATGACTTAAAAGTAAATACATGTGTTATTAATGGCTAACCGTACATTTCCCCCATATCTCAACTGACAAGTTTTATAAAATTTCTTTTGCATTTTAGTCCATGTCCACATCTCTTGAAGAAAACATGCAGGTTGATGGAAGGGCAAAGATTACTTTTACTCTGCGGGCAAAACTATTTATCGCCAGTAGCTCAAAAAGTGTATATTGTTTTGCATATAGCATATAGAAATGTAGGTATATATCTCAAAAAAGAAAAACAGAGTGACTATTATTTTAAGAGCGGTTATAGAACATCATTTTCCCTCGAAGTAACCAACAGGGTAGCTTGCTAATTGTACATTCACGCGTTGTCTTAGCGTTGCACTATAACCAGGTGAAATTCGGAAATGGTCACATTTCAGCTCATGTCTTTAAAAATTAACCACTATCTTGGAGCAAATTTTCACAAGTGAAACTTCAGAATATTGTACTCCCTCTGTTCCAGTTTATGTGAACCTATTTCTTTTTTGATCCGTTCCAAAAAAATGACCCCTTTCTAAATTTGGAAACAATTTAGCTTAAACTTTCAATTCTACCCTCAATGAGAAGCTTTTATAGCCACACAAATATTCTGGGCCCCTTTTTAACTTGTTTAGGACCACAAATTCCAAAAGTCTTCATTTTTTCTTAAACTCCGTGCCCAGTCAAACAGGTTTACACATATTGGAACAGAAGGGGTAATTATTTTCCGAAGACAACCGAAAATGGCCATTGGGCATTATTTTCACACTATAGCCTTGGCGTGGCGCACCTAATGCGTCAAAAATTCGTAAAAATTGCATGGGGCGTCCTATTTGGTCGCTCCATTTAACCTATACCCATTTTTTAAAAAAGTTTTAACATGTACTCACTTTTTAAACAACTTTAGGCATCTTTCTCCTCCTCCTCCTCCTTCATTTTCTTCAGGTGACAATAATTTTATATGGTGGTTGCGAATATATGTTAATGTAGTTTACGATGTTTTACAATGGTGAGCTGTTATGACGTTTTATTTTTTACTATTGCTTAGGGTTTCTTTTTTTTTTTTCTTAATTGCCAAATGGGTTCATTAGATTTATTGTTGTTTTGACAAATTGATGATTGGGGTTTGTTCCTGATGATATTTGGAGGCTATGTTTCAAATTTGAGCTCATTTGGAGTAGATTTAGGTATTAAATCGTATATTGGATAGTTATAATTCGAAGAACAGATTTTTGTTTTTGGGCAATTTTCACTTCAGACTTATTGGCCTTAAGTGAATGAAAACGTTTGTTGCACTTCAGACTTATTAGCCTTAAGTGCATGAAACCATTGGTTGCACTTCAGACCTATTTGCCTTAAGTGCATTTGAAGTGCAATTTTTTCACTTTAGGCATTTTTTTTTATAACTTCAGACCCATAAGTCTGAAGTTGATCGTAAAGTGGGTACGCTTGCAAACTTTTTTGTAAAGTGAGTATAGGTTCAATTGTGACCCCAAAACCGGGTATAGATGCAAAAGCCCCAAAAAATTCATGTCCCCATAATCACAGATAATTGGAAGAAAAAGAACACGATATAAAAAATTTCGGAAATCATATATACAAGTGGCAAACTTGAATTGCCATTACAAAATTGTGCTATTCCTCATTAAAAGACAAGATAATCATTTTGAACTTGCTAAATATTTTCAGACAACCAAATTATCACTAGTAGAAATATGTTGGAGGAGTTAATAATTGTTTGGAACATTTGCATCAAACAAAGTTCAATATCGTTGGGTGGTTCTATAATGTTCACCAAAATAGATTGAAGACAGGTTACTGGCAAGTTCGGATTGCGGAGGGAGATGAACATAAGACCGACCTGTGCGACAAGATATGGGTAGTAAAAAATAAAAGAATTTCTGTAGTGTTTTGGAACAAACTAAAATGTAGAAAAGTCACTTCAAGTTACATTTTATTTATTCTATGAAAC